GCTTACCCTCTGGCTGATGAAATTCTCTTCCCCTCAAGGCCCATCCATCCTGATCCCATGAACCACTTGAGACATATCCCCACTGGCTCATGGCCCTTTGTTTGCAATTCTCTTTTCACACCCCTTACATAAACCTAACAGCCACTACTGAAACTGATGACCTCGTCTCCTTCATGGATAAGGACTGTGGCTTACTTGCCTGTTTATTCTCTATTTTATTTGACAATCTGTAAAGAGTCTAACTCAAAAAGCATGATGGATCTGAAACAGTCACGCTTACCTGTGAGGGTGAGCACAACACATCAGCTATGACAGAAGCCCTCCAGCAATGTTTAATAAGGATTACATGAGCTTATGAACGTAACAAGCTCACACACATACAGGGCCACCAACAAGTTACCATCTTATCAGCAAGAGCTCATGTTTCTTAAATGCTCACTAGGTGCCCAGCATTGTACAAAGTGCTTTTCATGTGGGAGTTCCTTAAAACAGGGCTTGGCATCATAATCTTTCATTTCCCTTGCACAGTTGATGAGATATAGGTGTTTTTAAAATGAATTTTGAAGAAAAATGGCTCTAATATGGCAAATTTAAAAGTAACTGAATTTCCCTTATTAAAAAGTTGATTTGATGACACTATGAAAACTTCAAAGGATAGTTTTAAAGATCAAAAATAACTCAAGAGCCAGTGTGGAGGCTCAAGTGTGTGATCCCAGTACTTTGGGAGGCCAAGGTGAGAGGACTGCCTGAGCCTGTGAGCTTGAGACCACCCTGGGCAAATGGTGAGACCTCAACTCTACAATAAATCAAAAAACTAGCCAGGCATGGTAGTGCATGCCTATAGTTCTGGCTACTTGGAAGGCTGAAGTGGAAGGATCGCCAGCGCCCAGTAGGTTCACACTGGGGTGACTGTGAGCGTGCCACTGCACTCCGGCATGGGTGACAGAGTGAGACTCCAACTCAAAAAAAAAAAAAAAAAAAAAAATTCAAGATATGCAAAAATATAAGAAATTTACAAATCTTAGAAATAAACAACAGTATCATACAAATTTGTATCCAGTGTTGAGGACTACTAAAGAATGAGAGGAAAGAAAAGTGGTACTGGAGTTTCTATGAGCCTCAAAGCCCCTCAACTGAAAACAGGCCAATAATTGGACCTACCACACAGAGTTGCTGTGAGGATTAAACTGGATGATACCACTGAAGTGATCAGAACACAGTTATGATGAGAAATGTATTTCTCTAATTTGTTTTATCATGAGAGATGCTCCCACTTACCTAATATGGTAAGTGAAGATCAAAGCATATGATAAGTAACTAAATTCAGAGTTGATACAAATATTCTGAAGCACCAACTGCTCTAAATTCTTACTAGTGTGAAAATACTGACAGGTTAGTTTTGTCTTCTCATTGCTGTTTTATTTAACAATGAAAATGGACATCAACAAATAGTGAAGTCCCAGAAAGACATCAGGACAGAGAAAGTAAAAGCTGGGACATGCTACAAAGCATAAATTCATTTTTTAAAATAAATTTCTTCAGAAACTAAAATGCTTACTTTAGCTCCCACATGCATACTGTTGTCAAGTCAAATGAAAAAATAAATATTAGATTTTTGTGTAACAGCTTCTTTTGTATTTTACAGATAAAATTTTAATTTGTTCTTCTGTTCATTTTAGTGGTAAAATAAGGAATGAAAGCACGAAAGATTTGAAAGGCAAAATGCCACAATACAGCAAACAAATTGTGTTTCCCTTTTCCAAACATAATTATGTAAGTCATTTAACAAGAATAGAAAAGATATTAAAGGAATCATCTAAATAAAATCTAAATGGAGATTTAAAGCTCCTTTTAGTGAGTCCGGTTTCCTGGTATCACACTGTGAATATCTTTATATACAAATATATACAAAGCTGAAAATTTAAAAATATGACGACACAGATGGAAACTAAAAATGCTTTGCAATGATTCACATGCGTAATCCACTGCACTTATAAGCATTTTCTTTTTTAAAATCTTTTTTTGTAAAGGCACCAAAATATTCAGTTTCTCAAAATAAGTCCAAGGCATTAATGAGAGTTCCTACCAAAAAATTACTCCCTGTACTGAAAGCTTAAGTCTGCCTGTTGCCTGCTCTCTGTCAGCACAGCCCTGGCTGGGAACACGACATCTGGAGACAGAAAAGACAGAGGCAAGAGCTGGTGCTGCCGGCCACAGCGTGAGGTGCTCGCACAGAGAAGCACGTGATGAGCTTCTGGACTCCACAGCCCGGCGAATACTGCTACCTGACAGACACCTCGATTAAAAGGGATAATGTGTGTGAGGCACCCATTTCCAAAGTAAAATGGAAGAGAGTGACTCTGATTATTGAATTTTAATTTAGCCTAGGAAAGACATTAAGAAAAACAACTGTCATATATTATCATTAATAATTTATGAAGGGATATTTTAATACTGCCAAGAATAGAAAGACCATAATTTCAGAATAATTGCCAGCTTTGTGAATTAAATAAATTTAACTTTAAGTCCAACTCAACAAAGCATTCTGATCTTTCCTGTGTGGAGGAGACCATCAAGCGCTCATCACAGATCAGCACCATCTGTGGAGCAGCATTTGGTAGGCACTAACAGAGGGCAAAAATGTGCCAGAAATCCCACAGCACATCTACAACCAGGGCATCCCAGTTTTTAATTTAACATGATTAAAACAAGAGAACATTGCAATAACACTCTCCTTTATCTTATGTTTCAAGGTAAATCTCAAATGTTCAGTATATGACTATATCATCAATGTCCGTATGTTTTTATTTTCCTTGATAAGTATAGTAAAGAAATGACTGAGTGAATCAAGTTAAACCTAATCATCATTTTTCTACTATTTGTTAGAATGTTCGGAGAAGTTACTGAAAAACAACCCCCAAAATAGTTAAGTTTAGGCATCAGTAGTCTTTTTGAAGCATTCAAAGTACTTCAAATGCTCATGTAATAAACATGGACACCACAGCATTCTCTAAATATATACATGGAATAGATATTAGCTGTGCATTAAAAAAGCAAAATGAATAGAAATTGTAAAGATTAGAAAAGGGACATCTAACTACTGATCTATTATTCTCAGTAACTGATCTTTTGGACTCCCATTCATTATAATAAAATTGGAATTTTTAAATAATTTAGAAAATACTATCAAAATCTGTTCACAAAATGAATTAAATAAATACCTGGGCCAATTTTATTTTTGGAGAAATTTTAAGAATGCAATGCTAAAACCATTACCACACACTGCTAGGATGCAATATGACTAAAACACTAAAAGAAGGAGTTAAAGTAAGAATATGCAAGTAGACTATCTACAAAATTAGCCCATATGCTGATATTATTCCAAGCAGAATGTAGAATTTTACATTTTTATATTTAAAATTCTTAGCTAAAATATACCTTTGGCGGTACTAATAGACTTTTAAAATCTAACTGTTTTGGGCTTGGTACAGTGGCTCATGACTGTAATCCCAGCACTTTAGAAGACTGAGGAAAGTATTGCTTGAGGTCAGGAGTTTGAAATCAGCCTGGACAACATAGTAAGACCCTACAAAAACTTTAAAAATTAGCTGAATGTGGTAGCTCATGAGCCTATAGTCCCAGCTACTCAGGAGGCTAAGACAGAAGGATCACTTGAGCCCAGGAGATCAAGGCTGCAGTGAGCTATGACTGTGCCACTGCACTTCAGCCTGGGTGACAGAGAAATATCCTGTCTCAAAATACATATATATAAGCTTTAAGAACAGTGCAATGGCACTGGCTTTGAAGCAGACTGTGTTTGTGCCCTGGTTCCATGACTCAGTAACTATGTGAACCTAGATTTATTTCTTAATCTCTCTGTGTCCCAGATTTCTTATCTCTAAAATGGGGATAATAACAGGACCATTTTTGCAGGGTTGGGAAATCAAATGGGATAACATATTTAAGGCACTTAGAAAAGAGTCCACGAACATGCTCATTGGTATTAGTCATTATTATTACTGTACTGCTGGTAGTGTTATGACATTATTATTATACTCCATTATTATTGCTGCTACTATTTATTCACAGATATTTTATTTTATTTTTATTTTTTTTGAGTTGGAGTCTCACTCTGTCACCCAGACTGGAGTGCAGTGGCCGCTCCTGGCCACTGCAGCCTCGACCTGCGGGGCTCCGGTGATCCTTCCGCCTCAGCCTTCCAAGTAGCTGGAACTACAGGCGCGTGCTATCATACCCGGCTAATTTTTTTGATTTATTGTAGAGATGAGGTCTTGCCAAGTTGCCCAGGCAGGTCTCGAACCCGTGGGCTCAGGCAATCCACTCACCTCAGACTCCCAAAGCGTGGGATTACAGGCTGAGCCACCGAGCCCGGCTTCACAGACATTTTTAAAAATTCACTGCATGTATGGAAGACTATTAAGAGTTGAATATAAGGGCAGGCGCAGTGGCTCAAGCCTGTAATCCCAGCGCTTTGGGAGGCTGAGGCGAGAGGATTGTCTGAGCCCAGGGGTTCGAGACCAGCCTGGACAACTTGGTGAGACCTCGTCTCTACAATGTATCAAAAAATTAGCCAGGCATGATATTATGTGCCTGTAGTTCCAGTTACTTGGAAGGTTGAAGCGGAAGGATCACCTGAGCCCAGCAGGCTGACACTGGTGTGGTCGTGAGTAAGCCACTGGACTCCAGCCTGGGCAACAGAGTAAGACTCTGACTCAAAAAAAAAAAAAAGAAAAGAATATAGATTACATATCTTATCCATCAATTCTGACATAGAGAATTCCAGCAGATGAGAAGTGTTCCAGAGAGTTACAAAAATGAGAATATGAATAACTGCAAAAAAAAAAAAAAAGAATATGAAAAACTGCACAATAAATGGTATCAGTTTTCCCTGCCACAAAAAGAAATATGGCAGTGTATATTCCAGAAGCCTTGTAGAGAACCTGGACAGTGAGAATGCTGTCCTCCAAAGCCACACTCACCCCTTGCTCGTCCAACTTCATGAGCTGCTCTGTGACCTTGGGTGTGTTGAAGGCCAGTCGCAGGCACTGCACGTTGAGCTCGGGTACCACATGCTCCAGCACTTCCTTCAGAGGCAGCCCTCTGGCTGTTGAGTGCTTGGCTGTTGAGGGAATGGCATCCTCCAGGACTGAACCTCTCAGCGTCATGAGCTGCAAGAAAGGTGCTGCAGTGAGTATGACGGCAAGATGGCTGAACACATGTCCATGGCAAGACAGGCCTGGACGGCTGAATGTGTATGCCGCAGATCTACGTGACTGACCATGTGCCTGTGCCCTGCTGGCCTGCATGGCTTAACATGTGCTCATGTGCCACAGGCCAGGATAGCTGAACATCTGCCTGTGAGCTGAATGTACGCCCATGCCCTGAAGGCCTTAATGGCTGAACATGTGTCTGAGCCACAGACCTGGATGGTGGGCTTCACAGAGCTCGGGGACGACTTTTGATGGGTTAATCCATCGAGGGGGGAATAACCAGAGAATTGATAAATATACTTTATAAAGCACGAGGCCAACACTTTCAAGAAGACCCAGGCAAGTCCAAAGGAATTCATCACCAAGCCTTCAGAGGAGATGCATTTAAATATCAAATCTAGCATTTCCTGATGAGATCATAAAGATCAGGGTCTCTACATGTCTATATAGTGCTGCTAAGCACACTAGCCAGGATGACTGGCAGGGAAATATCTGAAGAATAAATACTTGGTGCTGTACATTTTTGAATTATAAAGTAGAGGCAGAACAAAGCTCTGAATTCATAAAATACCACTGGCAAGCATGGACTGTCCATGTCCCCAAGTACTGCTGCAGTAGGATGATGGTGCAGTCAGAGAGCAGTCCAGGCAACAGTGGTCGGAATGCCTTTAGATTTCCTCTTATTTCTTCAAATACCTTCCATTAGTACCTTAAACGAAGACATTTCCCTGTGTAATGATGATGCATTGGAGAAAAGTGAACCAGACATGAAGCCCAAAGCAGTCTTCACTTCTACAACTTTCCACATGACAAAATTGTTAACATAATTCAGTACTGCATGAGGACAGAAGAAAACCCTCAGATTGGACCCATTCATGGAGCATGTACAACCAGAGGCAGACAGGTCAACACACACAGAGAGGAACTTTATCATGAAGCAGAACAGGGTCGGGTGGTCAGTACAAGGGCAGAGAACAGACTGCAATGGCTCAGAGCACAAGAAAAAGTCCTGGTGGGAGCAATGGCATTAGAAAGGACCCAGAAATGCAGGAACAACTTCTACAGAAACATCAGAGAGAATATGAGCAGAGGTATGGGGGTCAGACAAGACAGGGAGTATGTGGGAAAGAGCGACAGCTCTCACTAGGTCAGAGAGAACAGGATGGGTAGTGGGCACAGCTGCAAGCAGTGGCAGAAGACCCTGATGCTGACACGGGATCCATGCCCCTTGGGCTCCAGCAGTAACCAGAGGTGGTCAGACAGGAATGATGGAATGTGCTCAGAAGTTAAGCAGCAAACGGGATGATCTGCAGGAGTAAGGAACAGGGCCAGGGAACACAGTCAGAAGGCAGCAGCAAGTCTTCAGGGTACAGGAAAGAAGGCACAAAGATAAGCAGGGAAAGCGGAACCCCAGGAAAACTCCAGGAAGCGAAACCTGCAACACTGGCCCACTGCTGGTTGAGTGGCAGGGCAGAAAGATCAGAGCATGTCAGAATCTCTTGACACAAGGAAAAACGACCTGAGATATCTATGGGTCTATTCATCCAATGAGCATCTTTTTTCTTTCATTGTGCAAGACTTCTTTACAAATAGCACAAGGATCATTTTTCTGTCACTTACTATCTAATTGGACATAAATTGTTTTCAGTTTGTTTTTCAATCATGGGAAACAGCTGACCAGCTCAGTGACTGGGCTCTTCCCTCCATGAGAGGACAAGCGCCCAGGGACAGGGAACTGCATAGGACAGCTGTGGTCCCCACCCAGAAGCCAAGCCCAGACTGGGCTTGGTGGCTCAGCCTGTAATCCAAACAATTTGGGAGGCTGAGGCAAGGGGATTGTCTGAGCCCATGGGTTCAAGACAGACCAGCCTGGGCAACTTGGCGAAACCGTGTCTCCACAATAAATAAATAAATAAATAAATAAATACATAAATAAAAATTAGCTGGGTGTGGTAGCACATACCTGTAGTTCCAGCTACTTGGAAGGCTGAGGCGGAAGGATCACCAGAGCCCAGCAGGTCGATGCTGGGGTGGCCGTGAGCATGCCACTGCACTCCAGCCTGGGCGATGAAGTGAGACTCCAACTCAACAACAACAAAAAAGAAGCCAAGCCTAGAGCTAGGCGAGTGAGTGAAGGTAGCACCCTTCACACATCCAATCACAGCCATTATTGATATTTTTACTAATAAAACAAGAAGTGAGTCCTCATTAAGCTTGGTGGCCCTAAGCTGAAACCACTCACATCCACACAAGGTCTACCAACAGCCCACTGAGTCCACGGGGGTCTGCGAGCACTTGTCATACATGCTTTCAATGTCTACGTCTACTGAAATGAAGGAGATGTGTTTGTATTTGAGTATCTTGATGCCATTTACTGAAGCCACTGGGGTGTCACTATAATGAGTTTTCTTTTTTCTTGGAAGTATTTATCTGTATGAGAAATGAGCAACATGAGAAGTCCGAGATACAAATTAATTCTTATTATCTGTCTAGTAAACTGGCTTCAATGAAAAGAGAGTCATGACAGTACCACCAAGTCCAGGAGCTATGGAGAGGGACCAATGTTCAGAAACATTTCTGATAGTAAACCTTAGAAAATGTTACAATTAAACACATTTAGGATTTTTTTTTAATTGGAAGGGAAAGAAATAACCCAAAGCTAGTGGCAATTACTAGATATAAGAGGAGGGGAGGGGTGGGGAGGAGAAAGGGGGAACTATTCAAGGTACCAGGCATGTAGAGAATGAACAACTCGGACCCAAGTCCCCACCCTCATGGGGTTTATATTCTAGGAGGGGAGATTGAAGGCAAACAAAATAAGGAAGTACAAGTTAATGGTAAGTATGAGTGAACAATAAAGTTGGATGTAAAATGGGAGGAGGGAGCAGAAATTTTAGATCCAGGGTAAAAGCCAGAGGCCGTGTGGGGAGCTGGGAGCCCACAGTTCTAGGAATGGGGAACGTGGAACTGGGGGCAGAGCTGTCCTAAGGAGGCCCAAAAGAAAGAGGCCCCCAGTCAGAGATGAGATCAGAGACCTCCCAGGCAGGCAAGGTCATGGACTTTTTCTCAGAATAACAGGAGAACCTTGGAGGACTCGGAACTGGGGAAAGCCCAATCTTGATTACTTCACAAGGACCCTGCTAGGTGGGATGAACGCAGGCCTCTAGACAGAAACAAGGAGAGAGCAGTGCTCAGAGCAAGACCAGGTCCACGACTGCCACAGGGCTTCTGGACAAAATAAACAAGTCAGACGCAGAGCAGGAGGGGGAAGAGAGTCAAGTGCGACTTCAGCAGTTTCTGGCTTGAGCAAATGAAGTAAACCAAACATCACTTTGAACATGAGAAGCACGTGGTGATGGTTTTTTGAACAGCATTTAACTTGAACTTTTCACTCAAAGGCCAAGGGACAGCACTCACTCCAGGGGATTAGCAGGAACATGACAGAAACTGACGACTAGAGAATACAAGTAGAACATTTTGGGCCAACGTAGCAAGAGGGGGCAAGAAGAGAAGTGGGCAGGAGGCAAGGGTCAGCAGAGCCCAGAGCACAGCAGGACTGGGATAGAGAGATACCAAGGGAAGGCTGGGAAAGCGTGGAATGCCCAAGGCATGCTGGGAGGGAAGGTAGGGGCTGGAGACAGGGTCTGAGGAAGAAAGAGCCCACACAGGAAGGGTAGGAAGGGAGGAAAGCAGCTAGAAGACGAATTCACGTGGGTTAAAAAAAAATCATAGAAAAGGAAAAATGTGATGGGGCCCAGATCAGGATGCCTTTGGGAAGGGAAAAAGAAAAGAATGGGAAAGACGAAATATGGTAATGGAGGCTCTCAGAAATCTGGCGAGACCTGAGAGGGCAGAAAGGAGCAGCTAACTGTGTGCACTGACAGACACAGAAGGTCTTCGTGTTAGTCTTCCCACTACACACGCTATGCTATACTCGCTACACGGAGAGAGGTTCATAGGAGCCTGTAAGTTCATTTCTCTCTGGTCACTCTAAACAGCACATCAGATAGGAAAGTCTTGTCTTTAAAAATGTATTTTTAAGCCAGGCTCAGTGGCTCAGCCTGTAATCCCACGCTTTGGAAGGCTGAAGTGAGTGGATTGCCTGAACCCGTGGGTTCGAGACCTGCCTGGACAACTTGGCGAGACCTCATCTCTAGAATAAATAAAAAAATTAGCCAGGCGTGGTAGCACACGACTGTAGTTCCAGCTACTTGGAAGGCTGAGGTGGAAGGATTGCCAGAGCCCAGCAGGTTAAGGCTGTGGTGGTTGGGAGCGTGCCACTGCACTCCAGTCTGGGCGACAGAGTGAGACTCCACCTCAAAAAAAAATGTATTTTTAATTTCCCCAGAGTTCAAGTTTAGTATCAATTAACAAGTGAAGCCAACTGCAAAACCTGCCTGGTATTCATGGGAGGCATAAATTAGCTCTAAAGTCATTGTTTTCTAGATGTCTCAAGGGTGTTGAGTCTTAATGTATAACGAAGTCCTAGAGTGAGTTGGGAGCTGAGAGGAAATACACTGGTAACCAGTCCAATTATACATGTTTTAGGAAGAAACCAAAGAAGAACCTCAGAGTCCCATACTTGGTCATGAGTTTTTAAAAAATGTAGCGTGGGTTTTCTTTATTTTCCCATTTCTGTTTTAGCCTGTTCATTTAAAAAAAAAAACTCATGCATTTTATGTGTTTAGATTTCTGAGAGCTCCAGGAGCCTCACAACTAGCTCTACCCACAACCAGACAGCCCTGGTTCAGTCCATGGTCAAGGCCTCAGAGGATAAGTCCAGGAGACAGCAGAGTGAGGTAGTGAAGGAAGGAGTCTTTCCCTCTCCTGGGCAGGGACCTGACCAAAGCACTAGCTTGGTAGAGTGAATACTGTCCTTGGTGGCCTTCTCATAGACACTGGCTCTGCAGGCTGTTCTGGTGCTTTCTGGCTGCTCAAGCAGGATGCACAGCATCCTACTTGGGATTCTGAGAACTCCAATTTCCTTGGGTCACACTTCTGAGACAAAACTCTCACTCATGTAGCCGGGAGAGGTGGTGCTCTTCTGTAGACCCAGCTACTTGGGAGGTTGAGGTGGAATGATCGCTTGAGCCCAGGAGTTAAAGACTACAGTGAGCCATGATCGTGTCACTGCACTCCAGCCTGGGTGATGGAGTGAGACCCTATCTCTAAAAACAAACAAACAAACAAACAAAGATCTCCCATGACTCTACTGCATCTGTCCAGAGTCAGATAAAAAAGAAAGGATCCAGATACATTCATCCTGTTCACCTCCACCACCACCAGCATGAATGCTTTCTGTTTATTCCAAAGACATCTGTAACCATGTGCTAACAAATTTATAAACCAAAAATAAATTTCTAAGCCCCTCCCCACCTCAAGTGACGAAGAAATTCCCTTAGCTGAGGAAAACCTGAAAAATGAAATTCTAGATTATGAGGGGAAGGGAGGTCAGTCACGCCTCATTATGCCTCTTCCCTTGTGGAGTTTAGGTATCAAAATAGAGACCATAAGACTAACAAAACAGACTCTGTGGAAATAAAGTACCAAATTCCAACCTGACTCTGGTAAAGCATCATACAACAGAAAGCAGGCCCTAAAGGAAATAAAAACATTTTACCCTGAAATATATTTCTGTGACATAATTTGAAACAGCCAGGCAAAGCTGTCTTCTGCTTCTGTAGAGAGTCTCCATTCACACAGCCAGCTCTTTCCCTCCAGGTCTTCCCAATCTAGAAGGGATCAACTGGGAACCTGACACCTTTAAAGCTGGAATAAGAGGCATCTGCCATCTCTCCAAGGGCTGCCACCGATGAGACGCCATCTGCATCATGAAAGCCTTGGTCTCTTCAACCCCTTGTCTTAACCCAGACATTTCTTCCTACTGATTTTCAGGTCTTTAGAAATAGCTCAACTGTCTCAACCAACTGTCAACTAAAGGACCCCTAAAATGCACCTATGACTTGTAAAGCCTTCTCCTCCAGACAGCCCCAGGCTGAGCCACTGTAAACCTCACATGTACTGATTTATGTCCTTGCCTGTAAACTTCTGTCTCCCTAAAATGTAGAAAACCGAGCTGTCACACAACTACCTTGGGCACATGTTCTCAGAAACTCCTGAACTGTAAGTACCCTAGGTCATGGTCACTCAAATCTGGCTCGGAATAAACCTCTTTAAATATTTTACAGAGTCTGGCTTTTCACCAACAAATTTCATTACTGTGCTACTGCTCCCTCTATTTTTTTTTCCCACTTCAGTCAAGCCTCAAACCTCTCTCAAGTGTAACTTACCTCACTAGTTCTAAAAATTATTCGGTAGTTGTATGGAGATCCATTTTCTTTCATTTCTTCAGGTTTTTCCCTTCGAATGCTCACAGCCACTGGACCAAGATTCTCATCAGCCCCAAAATAGTTCCAGTGTTCTTAGGTAAAACAAGACAAAACAAAGTTAGAAAATTAACCTAATACTTAGAAAATGTTATATTCTGCTCAGTATTTAAGATCACTACTCAGAAATCATCTCAATAAAATGTAAACATTTAACAAATTTGAATATTTTTCAATGAGTTATAAAAACAAAGACTTGGCTACATAAGTTGAGTTCCAGAAGAGATGATACCAAACAGAGACTGCCTAATGAGTTTTTTACTACTCTAAATTAATGACTCTATTATCTCGTAAAATAAATTTGTGTTTTCTCCCTATGCTCCACTGTTTAAATAAGTTGCACTGTGTGTGCTTCTCTGCCTAAGGTTTATGCGAGGGCTTTTTAGCTTTTGTTTAAAAAAAAAACCAAACCTAAACCTATCTAGAACAGAGATTGAGGAGAAAGGGCTTTCCTCTGACTAAAAAGCTTCCCTGGAGAGGAGAGATGGTGTGATGGATCACTAGGAAGTACTCTGTTCTCAGGAGCCCGTTTCCAGTGGAGCAGGAGTTCAGATAGCATCACAGTGCCCATGGAGGCAGGTACCATGCCCTAGCCTTCACAATGTTCCTACAGTATGCAGCCAGCTAGGTCACTTGTGTGGTCAGGGCATCCATGAGCCAAGGGCCTCTCTCCTCAATGTTCTGGCATTGCCCAAGGCCCTGAACCTCAGCACAAAGTCTCCAAATGACTGGAGTTGAACAGACTTTCCTCCTGACAAAAAGAAAGGTCAGGGTCACAGTTAATTTATAGAAAATGATAAAAGTGGCATTTACTGTAAATTAAGTATATGCTTCTTTAAAAAAGTTAAAACTGTTGATATGTACATGAGATGTTCACAGATGAAGTCCATAAAACATGGAAAAACATGAAAATCTAGAGTAATGAATTTATTTTTCAAACTTCCAGAATACTTACTTTACATTGTTCTACTCCAATGACGTGACATGGCTAAATGACCGAGTTGTAGCATGGCAATTATTCTCATACAAAACGCGTAAGTATTTTAAAATACATGTTATTTCTAAACAAAATATATAAATATTTGAAAATCCATGAGAATAATAAGAAATAATAGCATAAAATGTCTAACAATGTAGTTTTGAAATTTCAGGAATGCCCATGAGAATGCTTTGCAGGCATGAATAAATGATCATAAATCCTGAGGATTCGCTAGAAATATTATAATCCATGGAAATTCAAAACAACAACACAATGGGAATTCAGGCAACAAACATCTCATGTATGGACAACTGAGTAACAAGCCGGTAAGTGCCACAACATTCATGTGCACACACTCATGTATACCCTCAAGCACAGCACATGAGAGCCACACTCAGTTTATTGACTCTTACTTTGCACACAACTCTAATAAGCTTGATTGTCTGGTCTTCAAGCCCACAGCTTTATTTCAGAGGTGTGAGAATTCCAGATGCTGACAAAGTCCAGGGTGTAGGGCTGATATAGACTTGCATGCAGACAGCAATGTGATAGAACAACTGACGACAAGGAGAAAACAGAAAGGGGGAGACAGAAATAGTATAAAAAAGCAGACAAGAACTTAAAGAAAAACAAGACAGCAGTCTGGGGCCACCAACTGAAGGAGCAAAGAGCTAGGTACACTTCAGCACTCTCAAGAGGACTGTACCACTGTAGCACTGAGCAAGAGGGGACATGTCAGACGAGTGTGAGTCACATCTGTCATCTGTTCCTTGCACTTCATGGACTCAACTGAAATATGACTTTCTAGAAGCTCCTCACATACACCCCACATACCTCAGGAAGGGAGGGCGGATGGCTGTTTGCTGTTGCTGGGAGAAATTCAGAGACAGGGCTGCTCTCGATTCATGCTCAATAATCTCCATGTCTCTGGCTCAAGCTTTCCCTGCTCAGCTCCCTCTGCTTCTCCAGGGCACAGGCTGCAAGCGTCCTCTACTCTCCTTACCAACCCCTGGTCCCCATTTGCCTTCTTCTCAGTCTTAGCATATGACCACACAAAGGAAACACAGAAGCCTGTTTTTAGGTGCAAATTTCCTCATTACCCACACACACTTACCTGCATCCAGACTCTTGCTTCCTTTTCTGTAATCAAAGCCTAATCCTCCTCCCCTCCTGGACTCCACTCATCCCACCTCCCCAGGAACTCTGATGCCTAGATGACTCTCTCTTGATCGTCAGCTCCTTCCTCTCTACCTGCCAATTCCCACCATCTCTGGATACCTTTAAATACACACTTACTTTCAACGCTGTGGCCCCTTTCAGAGGTGAAGAGTTAGCCTCTCTTTCCTTTCTATCATTGGAAACTTCTTGAAATGGCTGCCTAATTCCTCCTGTCAGAGTATCACCATCTGACCTCCACTGCATGGGTCACCAAGGCCTGCCTTCTTGTTAAGACAAATGGTGCTTTGGCCTTTCCGTTGCTCAACCTCTCCATAATGTCTATCACAGATGATCATTTCACTTTTTCTAGAAACACTCTTACTTCCTGGTTCCTATGACAGCACCCTCTTCTGACCTTCCTTCTTCCTCTCTGGCTGCTCTTGCTCTGTTTCCCTCCCTCTTCCCTTGGGAATATTCTGCCCACTCTCAGAACTGCAACTGTATCTCACAGCTGAAGATTCCCCAAGTCCACAGTCTACTTCAGTCTTCTCTGAGCACGAGACCTTCACATCTACCCTGGAACTCTCTGTTTGTCCCACGGGTATCAGCAAAAGCGAACCCACCACCTTCCCACATAAACCGGCACAGCTCTCCCTGCAGTCCCATTTCAGCTATGGATTCACATGCGTTGTGAGTTCTAGCTCCTAGATCCTCTCCAATCTACCTGCAGCTTCCCCACGCTGGTGATTTAGCCTTAGTCATCACTTGCCTGAGTGCTTATAACAATTTTCTAACAGGTTTGTTACGGCATCACTCGTTCGTGTTGCACCCAGATGATCCTTCAAAAATGCCTGTCTGACCTAATCCTTACTCAGCCTAATCCTTAGGCTCTTGGATTCTTCTCATGGCTCCCAGAGGTCTGAAAAATCGACCACCTGCCTACTACTCCAGGTTCCATGCAGACCTGTCTCATTCTTCTAAACTGAGACCCAACTCACTAAGCTTCTCTTTCAGCTGCTCACACTCAGTGTGCCTGTTGTCATCTGAAACAGATGAACCTTCTTCCCATAATCCCTATCAGCTGGCTAAATTCTCTTATCTTTTAGGTGTCATCTGAAGTATGGTAAAGACTTCTTCTAAAAGGGGGAATGAATACTGGAACAAAAGGAAAGTGTTGATTTTGCGCACTGATACTAATACTTTATTTAGAACTGTTGTGAATTCATAAAAACACAAATTAGCAAACCCAAATATCTAATATACTTCAAATATAAAAATTTAGAAGGATGACAAAACAAAAATATAAATATAAATTTATAAAATATAGATATTAAGCAACCATTTTTGTATTATTGGCAGATAAAATAAAAATTGTTATTTTAAAAATAGGCCCTACATAAGATAAACTAAAAGTAAAGACTAAAATAAAGAATACTTTACTAATAATTAAAATTATAAAATTAATGGTCATTTAAACTTTTGTGTGTGTGTCATCATCAAAACCCAACTATATTTTCGTGTAACTCTTCCCAGATGCAAAATAAGTCTATTTCTGGGTTGGGGGAATGGTGATAAAATCACTGTAAACTAACTTCAAACACTTTTCTCAGACTCTAATCTCAAACAAATCCACCTCTGGTTAGATAACGTTAGAAAGAGCCTGTAGAAAGAGCCTTTAGAACTTACAGTGAGTTTTTATGCAGAAACATCAAGTTTTTTCATTGAAACAAAGCTTTAAGCTTTTATTTCCCAAAGGTTCTTCCATCCACTTTTCACTATGTCAGCTCCAGGGGCACAGTTGGAGAATCTGGCCCACTTTCCTATGTTAAGTTCACTACCATGATGAGTAAACTTCTTGTTCAAAAAGTCTTTCAACTTGAATAAGAAGTATTTGTATAATGAAAGTCTTGTTTTTGTTCACTGTCCACTTTTTTCTGCTTTTGAGGATTATGACTATCTGGGAAAAACTCTACACGAACACAAGTTTATTCAATTCAAAATCCTAATGTAGTGTGTAACCCTCCAGTAGAGAAGAGTTTGGTTCAGCAAGTCACTTTAAATTAAATTTTTGAGTTCTTAAGCTCTGGTCTCAAGATAAATGATTCAGATTTTTGTTTTAAATTACAGTAACAGCCTTTTGGGCATCTCTTCAGCCTGGTCCTTTTGACCACTCCTGGCTCTGCCTGTCCCTCAGATGGCCTGGGCAACAGAATCTTCCTTGTTCTCTGGCCCCAGTCCTGGGAAAGTGCTTCTACACTTACTCCTTGGTGTAGCATTTAAAATTTTTCCTACCAGCCAACTATTTCCACTCTTCGCTGGTGATGATATCCATGAAGGGCAAGGAGTTCTTCTAGTCAGATCCACAATCAGCTTTGTTTTTCTTTTGGGGTAGAAAGATGAGAGGGGAGGAGAACAGGGACAGGGGAATTACAGATGAGGAGTGATAAAGAAAGGCAAGGAAGACATGGATGAAGAAACTGTGGAGGAGAGAAGTCAGAAAGAGAGGGGAGGGTAAGAGGAATCAGAAACTCAGAGTGGGTGGATAAAGCCTCTGATGGATTAACTAAAATACAGGTATTACACCACCAAAAATGACAATACCTTAGAGCCAATCCACTGGAACGCCAAAAGCTAATACAGCAATCACTATGCTAGAATGATACAATGCAACGAAGCAAGTACTTTGCCAAGCATTCTAATATTCACATCAACCATGAAAATAATGCTATTTCCTTCTTCTTTACAGATGTGGCAAATATAATTTAGAGAGAATAAGTCACTTGGCCACAAGTGGTATATAGCAGTACCAGGTTCAAACATGTGATTTAAACTGCTGATTTCAAAGCTAATTTTCTAAGATATTATATACAATATTATGTTCCCATAAGGTATATTTAT